ATGAGTGTGATGCACACCATCTGGGGGATGAACATGCTTGAAGTTCTGACTCTGGAGGGGAGGAGGGGGGAAAGGCAATGCACGTAACGTAAACATTTGTACCTCCATAATATGCTGAAATTTAAAAAATGTTAAAAAAAAGTATAAAAATAGGTTCTGGTTTGGGATTAATGGTAGAAATGTAGGTTTTGCTCTTGAATATGTTCTAAGACCTTGCTATTCAAAGTGTGGTCCATGAACCAGCAGCATCAACATCACTTATGACCCTGTTAGAAATCAGAATCTCAGGCTCTGTGCCAGACCTACCACATCAGAGTCTACAGTATAGTAAGATTTCCAGGTGATTTGCATTTACACTAAAGTTTGAGAAGTGTGGCTCTAGGATGAATTGGTTTGGTTTAGGTCTCCTAAAAGCTACTAATGACTTTTACTATTAATAGAAAACTTCTAGTAGTATTTTTTAGCCATGTGAGAACCAAATGACAAATTGCCAGAAATTTTGAGTTGGTTGATTTTGTGTTTGATGGCTTGAAATCAGGTATTGTGGGAGTATTTATACTGTGGAAATTGGCAAATTGCACAATTTCATTTCTTCTGTACTGAAGAACCAGTTGTTAAACTTTTACCATCATACCACTGGACAGTTCTAAATCTCCTAATTCAATCTGCAATTAAAATATTCTCCTGGGGGGGGTTGGACATAGAAGCTGCCATATATGGGGGACAAGACAAAATGAATTCCAGTCTGTCACTCACAAACTTTCAACTTCATGACTAAAAAACAACTATTTTAGATAGTCATTTATTTATGAAAAAATAATCTAATTCTGAAGTAAGCATAAGGCAGGGGAAGAGAATCTAGGAGTTGGCAATACTTAAAATCCAGATAGGCAGACAGACTGGCATTGGACAGCTAGATAGTTTTGGAGCTGAAACCCAGGCATGGAATAGCAGTTTCTGTGTAGAGGGGGGAAAAGATAAGGGTGGGTAACTTCTAGTTCTAGAGTCATGGCACATGAGGAGCTTTTATAGCCTATATTATGTTGACTATTAAATTGTTGAACAAAATAATTAACTACCAAGTTGATGTTAAGTATGGATACAAGTGTTTCTTGGTCTTCTGCAGAAAGTGGTTTCCAAAGTATGGTCTCTGGGCCAGTATATGAGCATCACCTGAGAACTTATAAATGCAAATCCACAGGCTCTTGCTCCAGCCCCACTGGATCATAAACTCTGGGGCTGGGGCCCCCCAGTCTGAGTTTAATAAGCTTTATGGGTGATTCTGATGCACACTACTAAACTAGGAAATGTCTTGGAGTACCTTGTTTTTGTCCCATTTTCAAGTTGATCCCCAAATGGGAAAGAAGTTTCCAGCTCAACTGGAAGATGGCTGAAGAAGGCAGAGAACACAGATCAAGAGAACTACAGGGCTAGATAAATATTTAGAAATTTTTCTCAGGGAATTATCCAAGCAGGCCAGCAGCTGGCATTTTGCCCAGACTCCTGGAAAGTATAAACCTTCCTAGAAATCAAGTGGGGAAAGTTGCATTTTAAAGTGAACTTTGAGAAAGTGCATAAACATAGCCTAAAGACTTTCTGCAAATACTAATAAAAGTTCTGATATAAAGAAAGTGACATTCTGGCACAAAGGACAATGCAAACAACATGGATCATATTAAGAAATAGGCAGGTATTGGAAGAAAGGGTACTAGAACAACCAATTCATTTTGCCTTTGTGGTTCAGAGCTCTCACCAGTTTTATAATAATGGCATTTAATAGTTATTGAGTGCTTACTCTGTGCCAGGTACTTTAGTAAGTACCTCAGTAAAGTGTTTCATTATTAGCTCCATATCTCAGATGAGAAAACCAAGGCCCAGAGAGGTATATTAATAGAAGTTTGCCTCAAAGTCATACAACTAGTAAGTGATAACACTGGGATTCAAAGCCGGGTGGTTTGGCTCAAGTGTACAGATGCTTAAACAAAATACTCTGTTGCCTCTCTTCAGTGAGGAGAAACTCATTATGTATTAAATATTTAGAGGTTTAGGGTTCCCATTTCAGATTATGGACTTTTGTAGTTTTTATAAAGTCCTTTTGTAGTTGTTATAACATCTCAAGCTAAAGAATCTCTTTATGTATTGTTAAACACGACTAGATTTTGGACCCCACCTGATTAATGCCCTAAAGTTCTGATGTTCATAGAGGGCAATCAGATAAGCTGTACCTATACATGATATAGCTTTACTGAGGCTATTACTTTAAACATAGTACATGTTACTCTGAGTCCCAATATTGAATATTTAAATCCTCCCCTTAGAACAGGAGACATAAAAGAGTCCACAGATGAGGGCCAACTGATCCCAGCTGTGGAAAGGGAAGGGCTGTAGAGTTTAAGGACCAGGAACTCTAATCTGGGTATTTGTTTTGTCTGAAATGGACTGGGTGAACTTGCTCCAATTCTGGCATTTACTTTCAAATCAAATTAGTTTTTTTTCATCTATGCATAGCCAGGTACACTACTTGATACATTGGAGGCACTCACATATTTGTGAAAAGAAGGGAAAATGGGAAGGAAGGAGGGAGAAAGAGAAAGTAAGTTATAAAGGTAGATTCAAGTTCTTTGAATTTTTTGCATAAGAGTCACAAATAGTTATGGAACCTTTGTAGTAACTGCTTAGGTATTAACAAGACAAGGCAATAAATTAGAAATCTTATTCTTCATGTAGATAAGTACTACATATAAACATGAAATAAAGCATCTGGGAAATACCTATTTTGATCCAGTCCATTTTCCCTTGGGTAACTTCATGGAAACAAATGAATTTTGCAGGCTTGCCATTCTAATGGAGTCACTAATTCATGCATTCATATATTCATTTATTCAACAAACATGTATTGAGGGTCTTTTAAGGCCTGGTACTGTAGTATGTGCTGAGGTTACAAAAATGAGTAACACATGATTTCTGTCCACAAAAAGTTCAGACTGGTGGGAAAAACAGATACATTCTGGCGATGGTTGCACAACTCTGTGAATATACTAAAGACAATTGAATTGTACACTGTGTTTCCCCCAAAATAAGACCTACCTATAAAATAAGCGCTAGCAGAATTTCTAAGGATTTGTGCAATATAAGCCCTACACCGAAAATAAGACCTAGTGATGGGTGTGGCTACCCAGCATATCTGCACAATCCATGCATTTCATCACGGAGCGGTAAAAAAGATGAACAGCCCTTTTTTTTTTTATGGTTCAATAATGGACTACATTTTACAAAAAGATCCTAATACAATATACAAGTAATTCCTTGCTCTTCAAATGTATTCAGTTTCTGAGCTCACACAATAAGAGTTACCTGTATAGATCAATGAAAAAGTAAACATGAGGTCTGACAACTAACTGCTCTCTCTGGGAGTAGCTGTCAGCTATATTGGCAAAAAGATGCTTATTTCTGATCTCCCTATATTATATTAAGAACTAGTCACGATTGGAGGAAAATTGAGATTTTTTTTTTCCCTCATCGATTATTTGATGAAAACAGATCATCTCAGTTATATGGAGAGTTTCTAAAAGAATGACATTGTAATGTAATAAACTTCAAACCAGAGTTTAAACTCTGATCCTTTAGCCCCATTAGACCACAATGCTTTAAGTTTAAAAAGACTCACCCTAGTTTTACAAAGGTCTACTTAAGTACCTACTGACCATGAGGGAACTCAGATGATTTATTTATTTATTTCTCAGCTGCCCCTTGAGAGCTCTTTTGCTTGACATGAGAGTTTGGGGCCAATGGTTCTAAAGGAAATAGAGTCACAAGAAATTCAGGATGGAATTCAGGGTTTGGAGAGTTATGATGATGTTCAAGAAGAAGATGACTTAACTATATTTGAATAAATGTAGATTGTTGTAGTACTTAAAAAAAATAACACATCCCCTGAAAATAAGCCCTGGAGTGTCTTCTTGAGGAAAAATAAATATAAGACCCTGTCTTATTTTCAGGGAAACACGGTAGTATAGGTTGGTGAATTGTATGGCATGTGAATTATATCTCAAAACTGTTTAAAACAAACGAAACCAGATATAGCTCCTGGGTACTGTACAAAGCCAGGAAGAGGTGGCCATAACTCAACCTGGGAAGTGAGGAGGGAGGCTTCACACTCAAGTAGAGCCTGAGATGAATTCTTGAAAAAAAAAAGTTATGGAGGTGATGTGTTACAAAATATTGCAAGTAGAAGGGACAGGCTGCACAAAGCCATGGAGGTGAGAAACCACGTGTGTCTGTGTGTGTTGGGGGGATGTTGGCATGGGGTTGCAGCCGGGAGGTAGGCCTAGACCAGAAACCCGCTTCAGAGCTGGCCAGCCACGGGAAAGTTTTACGGGAAGCGATATAATTCGTGATCAGATTTGTTTTAGATAAACCATACAGACAGCTGTGACATAATGGAAAGAACACTCAATTTTTTTCTCCTGTCAGAATAACCTGTGCATAGGTCTCAGATCTGCCATTTTAAAACTAGTAGTGTTATATAAATGTCAAGTATTATCATTCAGTTGAGCCTAATGGCACCACTTGTTAGCAGGGAGAAGATGTAAGGCACGTTAATAAGATTTTATGTTGAACTACGGTCGATCTCGCGCTGAGTTAAAAATAAAGTTTGCTAGTGAGTGGGACACCCCCTTCGCCCTCCTTGGGTGGTGGCGAAGAGATTGGGGAATTTTAAAAGTGTTTACAAGGCTGGAGGTGTGGTAGGGGACGCTGGTGGGATTCTTCAGGGTTTCTCTTTTTCATGATTTTAGGCTGGGTCCTAGGTACTCTTAGAAATCTGTTGAAATTATCGTTCTGGGAACCCTTGTAGGATCCACAAAAAAAGAAGAAGAAAAAGGAATAAAATAATTACGGCATCGCCAACAGGATAGTATTTTCCTGAAGGTGGTTAAGCTGCTGTCTCATAGGAACCACAAACCGCGGGTCCCGGACAGCACGGAGCACAGACTGTAACACCGCCACGCCGGAAGTAAAGCCTGCTGTGATCCCGGCCGTATTCCTCTTGCTCCTCCTAACCCTTCCCCCTTCGCCAATTCTGGCAGGGAACTTAAAAAATATTCTTCCCGGTTGAGACGTAGGACCAATTTCGTGAACATCATCCGGAATGGTCAACATGGCGGTGGCCGTGAGGTGCCTCGGCAGAGGTAAGGCAGGGGCTTGTCTTGCGGGGAAAATAGCTCTGGCGCGGAATTTTCTGTCACAGCAGAGTGCAAACCGGGCTGTTTTAGGCGTATGTCTGCTGTGGATGTTCCACTTGCCTCAGACTCTTCCTGAGCTTTAGGTTCTCCGGAGGGTCCTATTACTTACAAACGACCTTGTCAGGGATTTCACTCTATCCCGGAACCGTTCAATGCGGGGGCGCGGGGGAGGGGATGCACGTCGACATCCTCCAGCCACCTGTGGGGACTGCAAGGACTAGGTTCTATTCCCGATACTGGGGGTGTGAGCTGAAGTTTGATACGTGAAGTGAGTTCTGGTAAGGGAAAGGTATAATAGTATATTTGAATTGCTTTCGTCTGTAAACTTTAACAGTTTTCACAGTGCTTGTTGGTGCTTTCGTTGCAGGCACTTCCAGTTCTCCAACTTTTAGACGTTGTCTAATTTGGATCAGCGTTTATCATTTGGGGGCTAATTCTGTAGCACTTGTGGATAGCACCTCTTTTCAGCAGTTAATGAAGTCCAATTCGTTAACTAGGATGACAGCCCTTGTTTGTACAATGCTTTTTTGATTTTCTTATGTTTTTGAAGCACAGTGATCTGTCATTTAAGTTAGGTTTTTTAGTTAAGTGACAGTGGAAAGACTGAAGACTGTTAGGCCAGTGATTTTTGTTTTTTGTTTTTTTAATTTGAAACACTGCATCATAGTTTTCTTTTTGAGCTTCTCACAGGAAAGCTCAGTGGCAAGACCAGCCATTACTTGGGATCATTGTTGCTTAGAAGTTAGGGATACCAAGAGATCACCACAGACTGATGATGAAGGGAGCAAACCAAAATGGATATTGTTAACTGGAAAGAGATCAATGGCATACATTTTCATGTATCTTTCATGATAGAAATCACATGAAACAAACCAAAGAAACCAAAAAGAGAACTGAAGATTGTCATTCTTGTGACATTTTCTTTTCTTGGCTTCCAGAATACCTTATTCTCTTAATTTTCTTCCTGTTTGACCTGTCTTTCCTTCTCCCCTTACTGGTGTAGTTCCTCCTCCTCTCCCCAGTCTCTTTCCTTGAAGTGTCCCAGGAACTGGGATTCTGTCCTTCGTTCTCACCTGTTCTGTATCTAAATTCACTACTTGGCTGTCAAATTTATATCTGCAGTCGGTACCTCTCTCCTGAACTTTAGATTCTTATACTCATCTGAGTGTTCTATTATGGATCTCCACTTGGATAGCTTATCAGCACCTCACAGTTGTTTAAAATCAAACTCATTTAAAGTCAAACTCATTATCGTAGCCTGTAGTCTTTCTCATCTGATTTGGTGGCAGCTGCATCCTTTCAGTTGTCTAGGCCAGAACCCCAGAATATCCTTGACTCATCTCTTTTATTTATTTATTTGAGATAGGGCCTTGCTCTGTTGCCCGTTCTAGGGTGCAGTGGTGCCATCATAGCTCACTGCAACCTCAAACTCCTGGGCTCAAGCTAACCTTCTGCCTCAGCCTCCCAAGTAGCTGAGACTGAGATTACAGGTGCATACTACCATGCTGGGATAATTTTTTTTAAGAAATGGGGTCTTGCTTTGTTGCTCAGGCTGGTCTCAAACCTCTGGGCTCAAATGATCCTCCCACCTTGGCCTCCCAAAGTGCTAGGGACTCCTCTCTTTGTTTCACACTTTACGTTAAATAGTTGACAAATCCAGTCAGCTTTTCCCTCAAAATAAATCCAGATTCTGACATCTTCTCACTACTCCACTGCAACTACCCTGTTTCAAGCTACTACCATCTCTCACCTGGAATTCTTAACAGGTTACTGTCAATAAGTAGTGAAATTGGACCTTTAAGAACTTAAATCCTGTTACTCCTATGCTCAGAGCTCTGCAAAGCCTTTCCATTTTTCTAAATCCAATGGCCTATAGCTGTACTGTCCATTTTATTAGGCACTATTGAGCATTTTAAATGTGGCTAATCCAAATTGAATGTGTCAATACATATTAGATTTTGAGGGGTTAGTACTAAAAAATATGTAAAATATTTCAATTGTATTAATATTTTTCACATTGATAATGAAGTAATATTTTGGAGTATATGCTATAATAAAATATTAATTTCACTGTTTCTTTTTACCTTTTTATTGTGTCTGTTAGAAAATTTAAAATTACACATGTGGCTCATATTATTCCATCACTGGCCTACAGTCTTCCACATCATCTGGTGCCTGTCTTCTCCCACCCCCCTCCTCCAGCTCATTTCTCTGACTTCTTCTCCAGTTCTCCTCCTTCACACTCATTCTGCTCTAGCCACACTGGACTCCTTGTTTCTTAAACACACCAGGAGCACTCCTGCTTGGGATCTTTGGCCTGGAACACTTTTTCTAGTTATTTGCATGGCTACTTTTCTAATTTTTTTCAAGTCTTTGCTAAAATGTCACCTTTTTAATGAGGCCTGTCTTAACCACCTTATTTAAAATTGCAAACGATTTTCCCCCTGACTCATTACCTTTTATCCTGTAGTCCTTCCCTCTCCTAATATGTTTATCATATTGTCTTCCCTTCTCTAGAATGTAAACTCTATGAGATAGGCATTTTTTAATGTTTTGTTCATTGATGTATACTAAATGCTTAAAGCAGTGCTCGCTCGTGTTTCATTGGTACATTCATTGTTGAATGAATGAATGAAGAAGTAGATCATCAAAAAAGTCCCCCCTTCCATGTATTGTAATGGATAATATTTGAATCCAATTTTTGCTCTCATTTGTTTAAATTCCCTTCATTCAATAGATGTTTATTGAGTCTCCATTTGCTAAACACTGCTAGGTATTAGAGATGTAATGGGGAATGAGCTATATACATTCCTGTCTGTGGTGCTTAGATCTATTGAGGAGCAGACATTAGTTGGATAATTATTTCTTTAATTACAATTTTCCTAAGTGCTGTGAAGGAAAAGTACAAGATCCCATAAGAGTGTATATGAGAGACATAATCTATTCTGAGTCCTCAGGGAAGACTTCTGAAGAAGTAATGTTTATGTAGAGTTCCTGAAAGATAACTGGATTATTATGAATTAGCTATGTGAAGGTGGAGCTGAAAGTGGTAGGGGAAAATGTCACAGATGGAAGGAAGACTTGTTTATGAGATAGGGTATGTTTAAGTGACTGATAGTGAGTATGAAGGAGAGTGGTGTTAAATAAAGCTCACTAGATAGGTTAGAAGTAGCTATTGGAGTACCTTTGGTAAGAATTTTCTTTGTTCAAAGAGCCAAGTAAAGCCATTCAAGGGTTGTAAGGACATGAGATTTTCATTTTTAAATGACCTTTCCTAATAATAGGTGGAAAAGAAATGTAGAGGACCAGGAGTAGTAGAAGATAGAACAATTTGGAGGCTGTTGCAGTAATCCAGGTGGTAGATGATGGTGGCTTGTACTATGGTGGTTGTAGGGAGAGGGCAGAAACTAGATGGGTAAGATCTTCTAGGGAGAGTGAGGATTACAGAGTCAGGTGAGAAGACAGCTTAGGATTGATCCCTGGGGAACTCCAACCTTTCAGTATCAATTATAAGAAAATAAGCTATTAATAGCAAAGGAGATGTAGTAGTTTCCATCTCATTGCCAAAGGGTGGGAGGGACTTTTAAGAATGAGTGCAAATTTAAGTGGGTTCATAAGTAGCTCAGGAAGTTCTGAGGGCTATTTTCTCCGAAGTAACAAGTGAGGTTATCTGCTAAGAGTATGGGGGAGAAGAAATGTTTTAAAGGATGTAAAATAATACATGTAGAAAAATTGACTGCAGAGATATCGAAAATACAGATATCATGGGCTAACAGTGCTACATAAATAGTGGTATTTTTGTACTTTGGTTTCTTTAAGTCTGTAGCAGTTTGATAGATTTCTATTGAGAATTTTAATTTCTGGTTGTCATGATTGGGGATTCTAAATAGTGGATGATTTTTTGTAACAGGTTGCAATTGATCTGTTCAAGAGATTTTTGTTTGTTTGTTTCCCCAAGAGAATTATTTTGGGATCCTCTAAGGTTGTTGGGTTCTTCTTGTTTAGTACAATTAGAATTGTTTGGAAGTGTTTGCCAAGGCTTGAATGGATAATTACTTGTTTCTTCATTTACCATATGTGGTTTTTAAAGATAGCCAGGTTCTTTAAAAATGTGGAGCATCTTCTCCTAGTCTATTGCATACTGGAACTGGATCTTTTCATTTATTTCATTTTTTTCTTCCTAGCTATTTTATCCACTTGTGGCTTTTCTACCCCCAAAGAATTCCTAGCAATAAATAGGTCTCCTGCACTGTCTCAGTTGTCACTCCTGTGTGTCCACAGAATTCAAAGTTTTGGTGATTATCTTGTATTTAATTTGGAAGATTAGAGATGAAATTGAGTTGTTAAGCATGTGGCTTTTTTTTGTTTGTTTGTTTGTTTTAAACAGATTTGCTCTGTCACCAAGGCTGGAGTGCAGTGGTGCAATCATAGCTCACTGTAACCTCCAGCTCCTAAGCTCAAGGGATCCTCCCAGCTCAGCCTCCCAAACAGCTAGGACTACAGACATGTGCTACCATGCCTGGCTAATTAAAAAAATTTTTTTGTAGAGATGGGGATGTTGCTGTGTCACCCAGGCTGGTCTTGAACTCCTAGTCTCAAGCAGTTCTCCTGCCTTATTCTCCTAAAATGCTGGGATTACAGACCTGAGCCACCATTTGCCTGGCTGGCATGTGGCTTTGATGAATTCTAGAGCTGATAAGAAGAGTGGGCCACTGGAAGATTTGGAGATGTACATCCCAAACAGATGTTACATTGAATGCAAGGGCCCTGAGGCAGGAATTAACCTAATTTGTTCAAGGATAAGAAAAAAGGCTCACAGTAAGTGGGAGAGTGGTATTGAGTAGTGGGCACAGACCACCTCATAGTAAGGACTTTCTAGCTATTCTGCACATACGGTGTTATACTTTTGGAAACTTACTGAAATGAATTTGCTTGATGGGTAGACT